AACCAATCGGTTTAGTAGTTACGGCGTGAAGGCGGAACAAACAAACAAACAAACAAACTCACTTTTCGATTTATAATATTAGTAAGGACTAGATTTTACATTTGACTTTACCTGCAGGATAAAGAAAAATAATAACGCCTGTAACGCCTCTAGTGTTTCAGGTGTCCATGGGAGACGCCGATTGCTTACCGTCAAGTGATCCGTCTGCTAATTTACCAGCTTATCGCATAAAAATACCCACGGTAAGTTTAATTCAAAGTCAAAGCAATTATTTCTATTAATCCGTAAATAGGCACTTTTGAAACGTCAAAACTGAATTACCCGTCAGTCTGTCTGTCAGTAAAACTAGGTGGTATATACCACATAACCTTCAATTTTTAAACAAGTGAAACAAGGAGTTCAATCGTCAACCGTAATTTAAATTAGTTCTAGAGTTTAGTTCCAATTTTGAAACTAGATGGCGTTGTTAGTTATAGTCCATTTTCTGAATCGCGGTGTCAAGATTCTCCGCCGTTTAATGACCCTCGGTGAATGTTTTATGCTTAGTTAGTTCATTAGTTCATTAGATCGTAAGAAGATTATTAGAGTTAATAACAATATACAGTTTATTATATAAAACAGTGGTTTGTATAGTATCCCTGAAGATATCCCTGTTCAGCCAGATTGGCAGTCAGTAGTCGTGAAGTTTAGTGCGCCGTGACCAAATATACACAAGGACAAACAAACACTCCCACATTCATATTAGTAAGGATAACAAAGAACAACTTTGTACAAAACCTAACAGGACTCGAAGGGGTAGATTCAATCTTTAGAAAACATATTGAATCTCTTCGGTTAGCGAACTGAGACAAAATGGCTGCGTCAAGTGTCCTCGAAAATATAAGCAAAATACTTTTCTTGTGAAGTTTTTCAAACTAGAACTAAACTGGGAAATCATAAGGATTAGGTTTAATTTTTGAGGGAGGGTATCATCCCTAATAAGGAGGCATAAAGGAGAGTCACACTCTTACTGACTAAAAACCAACCTGTTTTCTTCTCCACTCCTAGCCAAAACCCCGGCAACCCGTTAGGTTCTCCGCGACTCCGTATCGGCATCAGCCCCACAGGGTCCCATCTGCGGTGGTCTGATGGCTCTTTGAGGCTGCATATGCTCGATGAGGTGATGTTAAATTTTTTGGTTTCCTAAATTGTGTATATGGGTGATATAAAGCTATAATTATTTTGATGAAGCAATTGTATGACTATTAAGACTTACTCTGGACTAGATTTCTCTCTTTTTAACTAGAACTAATAACATAACTGTTAAAAAATGCTCATGACTGCCTCGTTGGCCGAGTGGTCGCAAGTCCGATTGCTGGGCAAGGGGTCTCGGGTTCAATTCCCGGGTCGGGCAAAGTACTACTGGGTTTTTAAAAAAAATCTCAGCATTAGCACGGTGTCTGTAATTGTGCCCGGTATATAGCAATAGACTCACCCCTATTACATGGGACTTATAACATAAATAGTGAAAAGTGGGTGTTACATTATACAGTGGCAACAACTGCCGTAATGTGCACAACCTACCTCTTCGGAGATAAAAGACGTGATGTTATGATGACTGACAAAAAAATATATAACTATGACCTCTGCCGACCCCTTCTGCTAACACCAAACCTTCCTACGCTACATATTATTGTTCTTATAACTAATTATTATTACATATTACGTAAACTGTATGAGTGAGACAAAAAACTCATACGTTCCAATATACGCGGCTATTTGTCTTCTTCAGTACCAACCCTTCGGCTGCTGGTTCATATTATACGTTCCTTTATTCCTATTGCCATATACTATTGCTTTGTCTATAGTAACACTGTGTGTGAACTTACCTTTATCTACGTTTTTTTTTCTTGCTTGCTTTCTGGTAAAATGTATTTTGTATCTCTTGCAAATGTCGTTATTTTTATATTAGTTGAATTATAGAATCGAGATTCACCTTTGTCTAAAGTTTTATTGGAATTTTCGATATTAGAAATACTCAGTAAGCGTATTAAATTTAATTTTAATGCGGTTTATCATCATCATCGTGTGGGAGAGCCATGCTTCGGCACGAATGGGCCAGCTCGACCGGAGTCATACCACGGCCTCACAGAAAACCGACGTGAAGCAACGCTTGCGTTGTGTTTCGTCGTGTGAGTGAGGTTACCGGAGGCCCAATTAACCTCCCCTTCCCTAATCTCCCCAATCCCTGAATCCCCAACGATCCTAAAACTCCTAATTCCCAAAAGGCGGGTAACGCACTTGTAACGCCTCTGGTGTTCCAGATGTCCATAGGCGACGCCGATTGCTTACCGTCAGATGATCCGTCTGCTCGTTTACCGGCTTATGCCATAAAAAAATCATCATCAATAGCCGAAAGACGTCCACTGCTGGACAAAGGTCTTAGTCCTCCACGTCGAATAACAACTCGCCTCCTGCATCCACTGGTTCAGAGATATTGGAAGATAAATTACTGAATATAAATAACATAACTGGGAAATGTACAGCAAGTGTTCTTAACAATATACAAATACTCAAACGCTACTCAATTTTAAATCGTTCTTAACTATAGTTCTGTCTCTACAATATCTTTGTAAAATGACAGAGACGGCACGATACTTAAGTACAACTTAAAATTTGGTAGCCTTTCAGTATTCGGACTATAGTCACATAGTATAAGCTAAGAGACCTTTGCAGTGCGATTCTGTAACATACTAATTGCGATACTCAGAGACGTTTAATAATTACTTTAACTATTCCTCGACTGACTGCCTCGTTGGCCGAGTGGTCGCTAGTGCAACTGTCAGGCAAGGGGTATCCGGTTCGATTCCCGGGTCGGGCAAAGTACTACTGGTTATTTTATAAATTGTCAGTAGTAGCACGGAGACTGGAATTGTGCCCGGTATATGGCAATAGGCTCACCCCCTATTACATGGGACTCATAACATAAATAGTGAGAAGTGGGTGTTACATTGTACAGTGGCATAATGTTGCCTTCCCCTTCGGGGATAAATGGCGTGATGTTATGTACCTCCCTTAGTAGCGTAGTAATTTAGTTCCGAAAACAATTAAGGATTGGTTTAAGTACCCATCATTTGAAGAGTCATTTCATGGCTGCTCAGAGGAGTACGACGCTAATTTAATATCAAAGTTCACATGAGCGAAGGAAGACCTAATGTTGAAAGTAAAGTCGATATGGAAATCGGTGTGTTGCAGAATAGCACTTTCGCTTTTTTAATTTCTCCAGAAAATTGATTTACAAATTTTGTTTCATATAACCTTTTACCTGTACTAACACGTCAAACGTTATCTCACCAAAGCATCTTGCCAAGAAACCTACCTCTGTACATGTAAAATCCATCTATGAAGCCACATATTGGTACAACCATTAACTACACTGCCAAATGGTGTATATGACCATTTGAGTTTACTACATAAACATATCATCACGACTTTTATCCCCGAAGGGGTAGGCAGAGGTGCACACAGAAGTAACACCAACTTTTCACTATTTATGTTATGAGTCCCATGTAATAGGGGATGAGCCACAACACAATTCCAAACTCCGTGCTACAACTGAGATTTTTTTTTTTAAAACCCAGTAGTCTTTGCCTGACCCTGGAATTGAACCCGAGACCCCTTAGTGGCACTTGCGACCACTCGGCCAACGAGGCAGAGTTACTAGTTAGAATTACGAGTTGAGTTTACTAGTCTTCAGAAAGCCAAGAAAGAAATTAAATTGTTCAGGAATAATAACTATAACTGACAAAGAGTACTATACTACAGGTGGGTCTATATTATCTGAGATGTTTAGCTTCCTTTCGTTTATCCCATAAAATAGAGGAAAACCGGTTTCATCATCATGTCATCATATTTGTCATGTCGGTCTATAGATTTTTCTTCAGTGGCGTGTGTGCATTTACAAACGGTAGGAAGCATATTAAACCTAGATAACTACCTATGAAAGTAAATCGCATAAAATTGTACTGTGTGATCAATTTGCCATCAATTTGTGGTCCGTCTCTGGCAATCATAATGCATCAAGGTATTTAAGAGAGTAGCAAAAATAAATACATGATTTTTAAGTGTGGGAGAGCAATGCTTCGGCACGAATGGGCCGCCTCGACCGGAGTGCCACCACGGCCTCACAGAAAACCGACTTGAAACAACGCTTGCGTTGTGTTTCGTAGTGTGAGTGAGGTTGTCAGAGGCCCAATTACCCCCTGTCCCCAGTCTTCTCAATCCCCGAATTCTCTACAATCATCAAATTCCCGATTCTCAAAGGGCCGGTTACGCACTTGTAAGACCCTGATGTTTCAGGGCAATGTCCATGGGCAATGCCGATTGCGTACCATCAGGTGATTCGTCTACTCGTTTACCGGCTTATGCCATAAAAAAAACACAAAAATATTTTTAAATTTTTTATTATTAAACTCATATGTTTTTACAAAGAAACTATTCACATGAAAATCATTACATTTACCTTGATATTTAACAGTTGACAAATAGATCTGATAAAAGATGTCAAACATCAGTTTCTAACACTAGATTAATTACAATATTTACAAGAATATATACATAATTACAATCACAATGGAAAAAAGTAAATTCGAAAAAACTTCGCGTGATATCTCAATATTGTATAACTAAGAATCTCACAGCCAGAAAACAAAAATAGAAAAAATAATCAATCAAAAATTCTCAAGTCTTTTAGATTATGTGTTAACATGTTCCAACATTTCTGGTAACGCATTATAAGCGACCATATTACCAAAACCTTTAGGTTCTTTTTTCGTCACAATTGCAACGATTTCTTCTTCTGGAGGCGGCGGAGGGAACTCTGCATTTGGGTCCACGGCCGTCGATATATCATCTACACTAAGAACTACTTCTCTATTGTCAATTTCGATTCTGTTACGCTCTAAAGAACTATCTTCCATGATGCTGTACAGATTCTCTGACTTACTCTTACTATACATTTGTCAGGAGTTCATGTAAAATGGATCGTTTATATTAACTCCATCATTGACTGTGTTTCCCTTCTGTGACCATTGCTTCTGCTGATGCTTTATCCTATAGATAATTTCGTCGTGGATCACGCCGAAACACATTGCTGTTAACGCCAATCCCGTTAGCGTATAAGCAGAACAGAACCACAGAGTGGTAGATTTGATGGTGTAGTACCTAACACCGTTTATTGTAGTATACGTCATACCAGGAACAATATTACCGAAACCAATGGTGCTTAACGCCATAAAACAGAAATAAAAACCATCTATAATACCCAGATTATCTATTTTGAATAGAACTACTGCTCCGATAACTATGTATATAAATATAGCTGCTAAACATAAGAGAACAGGGGCTAGAATGCTCAAGCCGTGCATGGATAGCTTTGAGTCTGTATCTGGCCAGCTAATGATGTCATCTTTGGCTGTACTTGTGGTTGGTCTTTCGGAAAGACTCAGGTCTTTTGTGCTATCTGGTTTTAGTACGTAGCATTCTTCTGTGGGCGTTTTGCTTGTGTTCTGGCTGTTTATCATTTCTTCTTGTTGTCTTTTGAGCTTCATTCTGCGTTCTTTTTCGGCCATTCTTCTTTCGTCGTAGCAGCAGTAGCCGCAATTTGAACAAAGGCAGCAGCAGAGGGCTCTGCTGAAGACGCTTCGTGCCATTTTGGAGAGGAGAGACCCGACGCTCGATAGGTAGACGAGGGTTAGAGGTATGCCTATCAAAGCATACACGATCGTCACGCCTTTGCCAAGGATTGTCCGCGGTGCGATGTTGCCGTAACCTGTGGAAGAATAATTTATTCAATGAGAGTCTTCAAAGGAAACTTGTATTATTGGTTGTACAGGATATCGAGGTGAATGTCTTGTTGGTTCATATACTTTCGTAATTAGTGTACATTAGAGTTCCATAAAGAAATATATACATACATCCAAAACTTCACGCCTGTCTCCCATGAGGGTAGGCAGAGACTATGGAACGCCAATTACTACGATTCCTACATACCTCTTCGCTTCATCAACAGTCATCAATCTTTTCATGCTCAGTTAAGGGTACTTTTAATTTGGCCCTTCTTTAATATATCGCTAATCTGGTAGGTATATGTTCGTCTAGGGTGTCCTCTACAGACTGTCCCATTCATATCCGCTCTGTATACTTCTTTCGTTACTCTACTTTCATCCATCCTTTCTACATGTCCAGCGTAACATTTCCTTTTCAATCCTTGTCATTACATCATCTTTCAATCCACACCTTTTTCTAATGGCAAATAATATATTAAAATTTATAGTAGATATGAATCCATACTTGTTTACTATCTTTAAGTAAAACGTGGAAATACTCAAACTCCACTCAATCTTGAGTATAGTTCTGTCATAACAAATTCTTTGTAAAATGACAAAATTGTCACGATATTCAAGTACAATTTAAATTGATCAGCTTTTCAATATTCGTTCGTAAGATAATCATATTATTCAAATAATTTCTTAATTCGTATATTTATAACTGCAAATATTTACAGTAAAATATTAAAATGTTTTAGGTAAAGAAAACACTTTGAACAACAACACGCTTACGAGCAAAAGTTTATTTTAAAACCTATTTTTGTTTTAAACTGTGAAACAAACTTGTATTTAAACCTAACAATTAACTTGAATGTTGCATGCAAAATACGTAGCAATATTTTTACAACATAAAAATATAAAAGACGTCGTTTTCTAAAATTAAACTATAAACTTTATAAAGAGAGCAGTGAAGCTCTGGATTGTTATAGATATAGCACTTTTATGCTTTCTTTACATTCTTTGTTAGAATACTTTGTTCGTTTCACAACACACTACATTTTATTCCCCTCGCATGCAAACCCATAAGAACCAAGCCAAAATTACTTCTACAATTTTAAAAGTGTGTTCAAAATTCTCACCTATAGTTGTTAAAACAGTGAGAGAGTAGAAAAAGGCAAGCGCCAAATTCCATTCGTGCTCTTCATAATGGTTCGCCAGGTCACTCCCGAATTCACCAAGTGCCATCTCTCTGTAACTTACGCCATACTGCGACGCCATTTCGGTTGTAACCCTTTGTACAAGCTCGTTTTGAAATTTCAAAATCTCCTGTGCAGCCAACCGTGTCCAATTCTCTCTATACAAAATGTTTAGCGACACTGTTATCTCCCAGATATTTTCCACCGCCCTACTTCTGGCGTCCCAAAAGTAATTCGCTGACAAACTTAGATTCCCATAATCATATTCGTCGTCTGTCTTTTTGTGCGTACTGTTCTGATCTTTATGGCTAATTTTCTGTCTATCTGGAAGTAATCTGGGTCTGGCTGGGACTTCGGCACCGCCCTCTATCGCCAAGAAAATGAACGATCCCAAAAATGTGTAGGCTAAAAGTACGACGAAAATTACTATGTTAGTGAGGGAGCCGATAATGAATTGTTTTCTTCTATACTTAGTAGTTTTTAGACAAAAGCAACAAACAACTTTTTGGCGTGATGTTTGTCCTCTTTTTCTGCTATTAGATACCATAGAGTCGCCGTCTTGGCATCTGTCCAAGGGGATCCCTCCATTTAGCGAAGGCTTTGCCAATGTGTACTGTTCGAACCGGCTGATTGCTTCTTTGTCCAATACTACATGATCTATATCCATCTTGGTGTGTTACGTCCTATCTTCGTGTGACGTCATTATACTGGATTATCTGTAACAAGAGAAAATGCGATTACAAACGCGTTTAGTGACGTTTTGTGGTAGAAGTAGGATTTGGGGAGAGAAAATAAATTGTACATTCAAAAGTATCTGTTTGTCCTTATCCAAGCTACCCTTTTTCTCATCAAAATCGGCTTAGTTAGTTCAGCCGAGGGAATATCACAAAGAGAGACAGCCAATTTTTATATTTTTTTCTCTTTTTGTAAAATATTATTATTTTTATCGAATGAGTATGTATTGACAATCTGGGATTAGGTACGACCAACCGGACTATTTTGTATTTCTTTTAGTTTAAGTAATACTTTTTATAACATAACATAAAATCACGACTTTTATCCCCGAAGGCAGAGGCAGAGGCGCACGTTATGTTACTGTACAATGTAATACCCACTTTTCACTATTTATGTTATGAGTCCCATGTGATAGGGGGTGATCTTTTTTATTTAAAAGGAAATTAAAAATTAAATATAACGAGATCACAGAAATAGAATATTATTTACAGATGTAAGTAGTGCTAATGGTTACGTAGTAAAAAACCCTGCCTCGTTGGCCGAGTGGTCGCAATTGCGACTACCGAGCAAGGGGTCTCGGGTTCGATTCCCGGGTCGGGCAAAGTATTACTGGGTTTTTAAAAAATTCTCAGTAGTAGCACGGAGTCTGGAACTGTGCCCGGTATATGGCAATAGGCTCACCCCCTATTACATGGGACTCATAACATAAATAGTGAAAAGTGGGTGTTACATTGTACAGTGGTATAATGTTCACCTCTGCCTACCCCTTTGAGGATAAAAGGCGTGATGTTATATATGTGTAAAAAACCCCAAGGTGTTATACTTAGATCTCTGCTTATACCATTTTAATAACAGGAAAGATATTATCTTTATGTCATTTGCGATACATTTTGGAATATTCAGAGTCATGAGCTGATGGTAAACAATATTAATTGCATGTCAATCAAAGTGAATTATGATTGGCGTTGACAGGTACTGTCTAGAGCTATCAGGGCCACCTGTGATGGACACTCGTCAACACGTACGTTTTATTTGTATTGAAAAATAATTATTCTCTGCCTCGTTAGCCGAGTGGTTGTAAAATGCGAGTGCCGGGTAAGGGGTCTCGGGTTCAAACACCGGGTTGGCCAAGTATTACTGGGTTTATACATTCTCAATAGTATCACGGAGTCTAGAATTGTGCCCGGTATATAGAAAGAAGAAAGAAAGAAAGAAAGAAAAAACATTTATTTAGCACCAGGCACGATGCAGCATAAATAAAAAATAAAAAAAGACAATCAAGATGTGACAGTGGAAGTAATAAAAATATAAGAGTTGAAAAATTGAAACAGAAGAATTAGAAAAGAGACGCTGACAACATGCCTATGCTAAAAGGGTCATCCACTCAGTGTAAGCCAGGCATACAGGTTACCCAGCACTGATTTTCAGTGGGCACCCATGCAGTGACGCACGGATGGTGGCAATAGGCTCACCACTCACTTAAGACAAATAACATAGATAGTGAAAAGTGGGTGTTACATTGTACAGTGGCATAATGTGCACCTCTGCCTACCCCTTTGGGGATAAAAGGCGTGATATTATGTATGTATGTATGTAAATAATTATTCAAATAAACACGAATATTTTTCTATTGCTTTTTGCCACCCACAGCATGGCAGCATAACAATCTGAGGATCATACAAAAAATTATTCCGTACAGTAATTGATCGTGTGACATGTAGCGTAAAAGCCATTTTCTCAGTCATGACATGCACCAATCGTACTAATCTAGATAATAAACACTAGGCTACTTTTTATCCAGATAACGAGAGTGAAGCCACTGGTAGAAGCTAGTATCATGATAAACGTAAAATCTAATCAATCATAACAACAATTTTTCTTTTCTTTTCGTACATAATCTCCTCAATCCCTGAATCCTGAACAATCCTCAAATTCCCAATCCCCAAACGGCCGGTATCATCATTTCTAACGCCTCTAGTGTTTTGGGTGTCAATGGACGGCGCCGATTGCTTACTATCAAGTGATCTGTCTGCTCATGCTCGGCTATAAAATAAAAAACAAATACAGAGCATAATAACATACAAAACTGTGCCTTGAAACTAAGTTTCCAGTATTTATAACTTGCATAAAATTTCTATTTATTACACTGAACGCCAATACTGAACCGTTTAAGTTACGTACTTACAGTGGGTAGTCATTTTTCAAAGTCTTTTCAGGGGGTGAGGTGACAAATGAAGAAGTATAAGACTTAAAGGAATGATTAATGATCAGTCGATACCCTCGTGTGGGTATCTCGAAACATATTATTATCAGCAATAAGGTTGTTTTTCCTTTGGCCACATTTTTATTGAATAGCGGCTTAGTTTTATCGTGTTACCGCAGATGGATGTTAAGGAAAATAGTTGGACTCATTAGAAAGATTTGTGAGGTTATTGAATACTATCGGGAATTTTATTTCTTGGATCTTTTAGTAGCTGCCGCGTTGGCCGAGTCGTCGCACTTTGACTGACGAGCAAGGGGGTCTCGGGTTTGAATCACAGGTCGGGCGTATGGCAATAGGCTCACCCCCTATTATATAGGACTCATAACACAAATAGTGAAATGTGGGTGTTACATTGTACAGTGGCATTGAATGCCGAAATGTGTACCTCGGCCTGCCCCTTCGAGGATAAAAGGAGTGATGTTATGTTACATTATGTCGTTTTAGTAGATGATAAGGCCCTTTTACAGAACAATTCATTTTTTTTCAATGGCAATTATTAGCTCCATTATGTTGTTCAAAACCACAAAACTGAATATTGATTGACTTATTTTCAATTCCAAAACCTCAATATCACATGAAAACTATCGATGTTTTTATAAGATTTCCTAACACTAGATTCAGTTTCCAAGTATCTGTTTTGACTGAGAATAATACAGATTTCTTGAGAAATGTGTTTTGTTCAGACCAAAGATCAATCATAACACTTTGAGCAAGCATTAAGTATCAAGCACGATCTCTAAATCAAAAGTACTCGCAGCATTCTAAAACTCTCGCAATTATAAACAAAGACTATCTAACAAGATCATTTAAAAAAACCTTAACCGTAAAAAGATCGCCAAGTCAAACTAATTAAAATGACAGTAATTGGACTAATTTATTTGATCGTCTCACTTCTGAGGTTGCCTCGACAAGGACTTTTTACGACACTAATAAAGTCCCTCGTCATTTGAAGGTTAAGATCAATCGAATTCTTTTAACATTTTTTTGTATAGAACAATTTGTTAAAAAAATGGTTTAGAATTTTTGATACCTAAAAGTATTTAAAGACACTTTTTTAGTGTAATATTACCGAACTGTAGATTGAATGGTTTAAAATGCGACTGTTGAGCAAATGGGTTAAACATTGTTGATTTTCTTTCTGATTTTTTTGTTGTAGTAATATTTATTTTACTTTTAGCCATGATGGTTCCACTACATGGCAATGGCATGTAATATGGATTCTGGAATTGGGATGATGACAGTGTATGAAAATTAAAAATCTAATTAGTTCGTAAGTTAGGTAATGAAAATATGTTAAACACGTATTTTTTTTTTCTTATGATAAAACAATACCTACTTAGATAAAACGAATCAAAATTTAGGAGTGGGGGCTAAAACGTCATTTCTACGTTTAAAATGTACATAGAAGTGACGTCTCGCGATATTTCAAATCAATAGTCATCGAAAGTATTCCTTTCTGTAAGAAAATAAAAAATACGTGTGTAATGATTTAAAACGATCTACCAGACGGACATTGAAATAAAAATTAGGCATCTACCCTATGGATATAATAATATCCATTGAGACGATAGGCAAATGACACAAAATCAATTTTTACCAGATCTTCTATTTTTATTTTAGTTATTTATTTATTTATTTATTTAAGGAAAAACAAACAGTAACATATTACAAAATATACATAAGTCAGCTTACACATTATACTTGGCAAATATGTTACCCACTACGTTCTTCACAGATTACTTTTATATTAGATCTAGAGTGACACAAATATTGTTACATTTTCAAATAGAATAAACTAATGTGAAACAAAGACAATAGGCTTCATAGATTTACGATGCACCACTTACTTATCTGGATGGAAGAGACAGCGTATATTCAAAATGGATTATTATGTTTTTGGCTTACTCACGTATCTGTTTTCTGAGGAATTCGACTAGTTTCAAGCCATGCTAGAGAATCATATTCATGAGCTCATATGCATGAACTCTCGCACTGAATGGTTAATATAATACGTAAGTAAGTCGAAAACATAATAATATATTTAGTATATCTCACGAAAGTTTTAATGTAAACAGAGTATAGTTAAAAAATCTCGAAATATTCGTTTTTCTTATTGGGTTACGTAAATATTTTATTAGATATCCTATCTGCTGAATCAATGATAATTTTTGTCAGTTGGTATCCTCGTTAGCCAGATTAACCCTTAAATACTGTACAGCCATAAAAACAGTGTTTAGAAAATAATAAAAAAAATCGTAATCTTTGTCGTTTCAAATCCTGGAGGTGGACTAACTTTTTCACTTACAAAGGGTCGGTTATGAAATCTTTTCACAAAGTTTCGCCTTCCATTTTTAGAGAATAGAAAACTTCTTGGTGAAGATTGATTTTTTTTTCTAACAATGAAAAGTTATTTTTTGGAGAAAACAATTGAAAATATATATTCTTTTTGTTGGAAGAATGCGCTTTTCACGTCACTTGGCTTAAGAATGTTGCTGTCATTTTTAAAGGCTTTTTTCCGTTGCTTGTCCTACATTTGATTATTCGATTACTTGTCTGGAATATTGTCTGTCTTTTATGGAATAAAGGCTAAGAAAGCAGCTGGTAGCGATCAGTGCCGCCCAAAGACACCCGCTGCATCAAAGAAGTAACAAGAGAGTAGCTGATTTTTA